GGAAGCAGGCTCCCTGCTGAGCAGAGAGCCCGGTGTGGGGCTCGATCCCAGGACTGTGAGATCATGACCTGAGCTGAAGGCAGAGGCTTTAACCCACTGAGCCACCCATGTGCCCTGAAATTTACTTTAATATTATTACAACCACTCTAGCTTTCTTTTGATTAGTGTTAGCATGGAATGTACTTTTCCATTCTTTTATTTTTTTTTACAAGCTTAATTAGGATAAGATTCATATACTATACAATTCACTTACCCCAGTATGGAATTCAGTGGTTTTTAGTATATTCGTAGAGTTATTTGTACAGCTATCATAACAATCTAATTTTGGAACATTTTGTCATCCCAAAGGGAAACACTCCCTATCCACCTAGCTGCTCACTCCCAGGCAACTATTAATCTGCTGTAAGTCTCGATAGGTTTGCCTGTCCTGGACATTTCGTATGAATGGAATCATGCAGTCACTATTTGGACCTTCATGACTCGTTTCCTTCACTCAGCACAGAATTTTCTGGACTCATCCACATTGTAGCAGATAACAATACTTTTTTTTTTATGGCTGAATAATATTTCAGTTTATGGGTCTCCTACACTTGATTTATCAGTTTATGGGTATCTGGGTCATTTGGGCTTTTGAGCTTTTATGAATAATACAGCTTTTAACATACATGAGATTTTGTGTAGACTTATATTTTCAGTTCTCTTGGGTATATATCTAGGAATGGAATTGCTGGGTCATGTGGTAACTGTTTAAATTTTTAAGAAAGTACTAAGTGGCTTTTCCATAGCAGCTGCACCATCTTACTATCCTACCACCAGTGTATAAGGCTCCTAATTTTCTACATCCTCCCTAATACTTATTATTGTCTGTCATTTTGGTAATAGCCATCCTAGTGGTGTAAAGAGGTCTCTCATTGTCATTCAATTTGCATTTCCCTAATGATCAGTGATGTTGAGCATTTTTCACGTCTTTATTGGCCATTTGTATATCTTTTTTGAAGAAGTCTCTGTGTGTCCTGTGCCCATTTTAAATTGGGTCTTTCTAATGTTAAGTTGTAAGCGTTTTTTATATATTCTGGATACCAGGTGCTTATCAGATAAGTGATTTGCAGACATTTTCTCCCATTCTGTGAGTTGTCTTTTTGCTTTTTTCTTTAACTGCAGTAGTCCTTAATTAGTATGAAATCAGTCATAATTATCTTTGACAAGTGTTTAGTACTATAATCACTAATTTAGATCTATACATTTAAACACAGTTACTTTCCACAGTTGCTATCCTCCTTTATGGAGGATAAGATGCTTTTTGTGACATCCTTTTTCTTCTGTTCATCATTTACCTTAATCTGAAGTTCTTATATTTTCATTAAAAAAATTGTGCTGAAATACATATAAAATTTATCATCTTAACCCTTTTTAAGTATACATTAATGTACATCATTGTCCTTAAGTACACTCATATTGTTGTGCAACCATTACCACCATCCATCCACAGAACTTTCTCATCTTGCAAAACTGTAACTCAGTACAAGCTAAATAATAACTGCCCATTACCCCTCCACCTAGGCCCTGGCCACCACCATTCTATTTTCTGTTCCTAGGAGTATAACTACTCTAGGTAACCTTGTATAAGTAGAATCACACCATATTTGTCCTTTTGTACCTGGCTTATTTTACTTAGCATAATGTACTTAAGGTTTGTCCATGTTGTAGTATGTGTCAGAATATCCTTTTTAAAGATGAATAATATTCCATAGTTTGTATATACCGTATTTGTTTATCCATTCATCCATTAATAGTCGCTTGGGTTGCTTCCACATTTTGGCTGTTGTAAACAGTGCTGCTATGAACATGGGTATACAAATATATTTTCATGTTCCTACTTTCAGTTCTTTTAGGTATATACCCAGAAGTGAAAATCCTGGATCATATAGCTGTTTTTTATGTTTCTGAGAGATTTGCCATACTATTTTCCACAGCCACCACACCATTTTACATTCCCACTAGCAGTGCTCAAGAGTTCCAGTTTCTCTGCATCTTTACCAATACTTATTCTTTTCTTGGCTTTTTAGAGTTGCCATCTTAATGAGTATGAGGTGGTATCTCATTCTGGTTTTGATTTGCCTTTCCCTAATTATTAGTGATATTGAGCATCTTTTCATGTGCTTATTGGCTATTTGTGTGTTTTTGGAGCAATGTCTGTTCAGATTCTTAGCCCATTTTGTATTCAGGTTGCTTGGGGGTTTTATGGCTTATGTGTTGTATTGTTTGATTAGTTACCACCAAAAGAATATGTCCGAATACTAAAGGTGTTTGTGAATGTGACCTTGTTTAGAAATAGGGTCTTTCAGGGACGCCTGGGTGGCTCAGTGGGTTAAAGCCTTTGCCTTTGGCTCAGGTCATGATCCAGGGTCCTGGGATCGAGTCCTGCATCAGGCTCTCTGCTCAGCAGGAAGCCTGCTTCCTCCTCTCTGTCTGCCTGCTTCTCTACCTACTTGTGATCTCCATCTGTCAAATAAATAATCTAATGTAAGTGTAAAAATGTAAATGTAAAAATCTTTAAAAAAAAAAAAAAGAAAGAAATAGGGTCTTTCCAGATATAATTAAAGATCTCAAGATGAGATAATCCTGAGTATAGGGTAGGCCCTAAATACAGTAACTGGTATTCTTTTTTTTTTTCCCTCAGATTTTATTTATCTATTAATGAGAGGGCATGAGCTGGGGGAGGGGACAGGGAGAGGGTGAATTAGTCTTCCCACTGAGCAGGGAGCCCGACTTGGGGTTTGATCCAGGACCCCGAGATCATGGCCTGACCTGAAGTCAGATGCTTAACTGATTGTACCACCCAGGCAATCCAACTGGTATTCTTATATGACAAAGGAGAGGGAAATTTGAAACAGACACAGAGGGGTAAAGATCATCTGAAGATTACAGTTATGTTGCCATAAACCAAGGAGTCCATGAGCCACCAGAAGCTGAAAGAGGCAAGGAAGTATTCTACCCTAGAGCCTTTGGAGGAAACATGACCCTACTGAGCTCTTAATTTTGGGCTTCTGTCCTTTAGAATTGTGAGAGAATAAATTTCTATTGTATCCAGTCACCAAGTTTGTAGTATAGCAGCCCTAGGAAACTAATATACATTCTTTGATGCACACAGTTAAAATTTGATAAAGTACAGTCATTCTGTTTTCTCTTTGATTGCTTGTGCTTTTGACATCATATCTAAGAAACTTTTGTTTGATCCAGGGTCACACAGATTTTTGTCTGTTTTTTTTATATGTGAATTTTATAGTTTTAGCTCTTACATTGAGGTCTTTGATTCATTTCGAGTTAATTTATAATTACCAAGTTCTCTTGTGAAAGTTAATTTCTTAGCTGTGAAGTTTCTTATGTTCTGATTATTAAGTATTAAGACATATTAAGTACAGACTAAGTCCAGTGACATTCAGGGAGAGTAAGAGGGGAGAAATTAAAATACAATCATATTCTCAGAACTGATTTTGGCTTCAATCAGAAGAGTCTTAAGAGATACTTAAAGGGATCAGAATTAATAAAACTATATGTTCATTGAATTTACAGGGTTTTTTTCTATTGGAGCCTAACACACATGTATAAATGTATATACATGTAATTAAATATTCATTAAAAAGTGATACAGTGAATACAAAAAAGTATGTGTGTTTTTAGCAAGATTTCTAGGTTGTCTCATTTTTATCCTCACCCAACATTATTTTAGGTTTACAAGTACACACATGTATTTGCCATCCTTGAAAAGTGTTTACTTTCAGTGTGCTAGCTTAGTTTTGGAGTAATACATTTCTGCCAGTAAACTCATCTGTATTCCTTTGTAAGGCATCCTTGATAGAAACCGTGTCTGCTTCCCTTATTTATCATACTCAAAGTATTAAGAGCTCATAGGGAAAATGTGGATATAAATTTTTTTTGTTAGCACTTACTCAGTTTGTTTTCTTTATATTCCTTTTTTAGTTTTATACCTGCATCAAATAATATTTCTAGCTTAGGAAAACCCCTCATCATCATCAGTCATTAATTACAAATAGTCTTTGAGAGAGATTTTAACAGATGCTGCAGGTAGGAAAACAAAGTGACGCAAAGTTTGCTCTTAAGTTTTTTTTAAACTATTTCTAGTCAGAAATACTGAAAAGAGTGAAAAATGGTATCACAGTCAAATAAGTAAAAGACATAGTAACTCTTACATAAATTTTAAAGAAGAGATGACTGTACATCATAGTGGATCAGGAAACTTTCCTTGGCAAGATGGAATCAGAGCTGAGGTTTTGGGATAATGGTAGAACTTTGATGGATGAAAGAAAAATAGCCTCTCAAAGGGGATAGTGGAACAGACAAAGATCAGGAGGCAGAAACTCATATGTTGGGTTTTATGTCAGTGACATGACCACCCCGATCTAGGGTTTTATTAGAAGAGTATTAATAGATGTGGTGGGAAGGTATTAATGACAGCTGATACTTGAGAATTTACTCTATGCCAATCATTGTGCTAAATGCTTGACATGTTTTTATCTAAGTTAATCTTCACAAAGCTGAAGTAAATGACATATTACTATTTTGAACGTGAGAACAATTACTTTTGAAGAAATTAAACTACTTCCCAAAGTCAGTGTTCTAATGAGTATGATAGCCGAGATTCAAACCACTTGGTTTCGGAGTCTGTGCTCTTAACTATATGCAACACTGCTCAATTACATTTAAGTTGTAGAAAGTCTAGAATGCCAAGCCAAGGTGATGAGACAATTCTCGTTCTCCACTATATGCAGTAATCATCTAGAGACCCTTTACCAGGAAATCTTCCAGGAAACTTCCTAAAATTAGTTTGCTTAGTGTTAACTGGCACATTTTGGAGTCATTGAACATGTAGACTCAGTAATATGGGAGATGCTAGGATTTCAGTGGAAATTTTTTGCTAAAAGCAAATAGCAAGCTTTCAGAAGACTGAAGTACCAGACTTCTCTTTCCTTTTGCATTAGGCAACACTGGACTATGGAATGTATTCTCGAGAAGAAGAACTATTAAGAGAAAGGAAACGCATTGGAACTGTTGGAATTGCTTCCTATGATTATCACCAAGGAAGTGGAACATTTCTGTTTCAAGCTGGTAGTGGAATTTATCATGTAAAAGATGGAGGGCCACAAGGATTTACTGTAAGTTCGTGTTACTATTTGTTAATCTGTTTTTGTGTACTAACGGTTATTTGCATCCAAATCAGAAAGGTAATTAAACCAAAAAATTATATCTACCAACCAAGTGAGAAATTTAATAGTAAAGAAAACAAGATATATAAGTATTAATTTCTTGTGTTAAGAATTAATCATTTTTGCACTGACGTTAATATGTAATTTTTTAAATGCTAAAAATACTTGCTATGTAGGAAGATTTAGTAAAGGACATCAATGCCCATTTTCTGAGTAAAGGTTGAGGAGGATTTTGGAAGATATTGTTACGACAAGGCAGTCTAATTTTGGTTCTCTTAAAAACTTAACTGATTTTTTAAGATTTTATTTATTTATTTGACAAGGAGAGATCACAAGTAGGCAAGCAGCAGGCAGAGGGAGAGGGAGAAGCAAACTCCCTGCTGAGCAGAAAGCCCGATGTGGGCCTTGATCTCAGGACCCTGGGATCGTGATCTGAGCCAAACACTTAACTGACTGAGGCACCCAGGCACCCAAAAAACTTAATTCATTTTAATAAATGGTTTTAAATGTTTGCTTTTACTCCAGGCAATGTTTTTTGTTTTTTTGTTTTTTCTTTTTTAAAAGATTTTATTTAATTATTTGACACAGAGAGAGAGAGAGAGAGAGAGAGACAGCGAGAGAGGGAATACAAGCAGGGGGAGTGGGAGAAGGAGAAGCAGGCTTCCTGCTGAGCAGGGAGCCTGATGTGGGGCTTGATCCCAGGACCCTGGGATCATGACCTGAGCTGAAGACAGATGCTTAACAACTGAGCCACCTAGGCACCCCAAGATGTATTTATTTGAGAAACAGCAAGAGATAGAGCAAGAATGAGTGGGGGAGGGGCAGAGGGAGAGAGAATCTCAAGCAGAATCCCCAGTGCGTGTAGAGCCTGATGTGGGGGCTTGATCTCATGACCCTGAGATCATGACCTGAGCTGAAATCAAGAGTCAGATGCTCAACAACTGAGCCACCCAGGCACCCCTCTCCACAATTCTTTACATGGTATTAGAACTATTCTTTTGTTGGAATTGTATGATCCTGGCTTTTGTTAAATCTTTTTGAGTGTACTGTTTTATATTGGTAAAATGAATTTAAAATATTGAATAAGTATTCAATAAATAAGTGCTTAATAAAAGTATTTAATAAGCAATAATTAAACAGGTTTGGATAACAAAACTTATGAAGCACTATTATATTTCTTTATTTATTTTCCTATTGGGGCCCTCTGGGTGGCTCAGTAGATTAAGCGTCTGACTCTTTATTTTGGCTCAGGTCATCCATGATCTCATGGGTCATGGATTGTGGGATTCTGCGCTCAGTAGGGAGTCTGCTTTTCTCCTTCTCCCTCTCCCTCTGCCCCTCCATGTATACTCGAGTGCTCTCTCTCTCTTGCTCTCTCTTGCTTTCATTCTCAAATAAATAAATCTTTAAAAAAATCCTTATTTACTTTCCTATTACCCTTAGTTTTCTAATTGATAATAAGAAAAAAAAAGAGTCCTTATAAGTTAAGGCATGCAAAAGTATATTTTTTGAGGAGCAGTTATAGTTGACATTTTACTTGGAATTATTGTTCATTTTATAGGAAGGGTGTTGGCAAATGAATAAAGTATGTATCAGCCTGATACTTGCTTTAAAAATGTTTTTTCTTTTCTAGCAACAACCCTTACGGCCGAATTTAGTAGAGACTAGTTGTCCCAACATTCGCATGGATCCCAAATTATGCCCAGCTGATCCAGACTGGATTGCTTTTATACATAGCAATGATATTTGGATATCCAACATCGTAACCAGAGAAGAAAGGAGGCTCACCTATGTGCACAATGGTAACACATAATTCTTCAAATCTACTTTTCTGAAAAGCATTTTTAAAATTTTGCCTTTGCTCACTTTTTGAAATTGAGGCAAAGTAGGTTACCTTTATATTTTAAATTCAAATCTTTAAAAAGAACAGAGGATAAATGGTATGTACCACCCACATAATGCTACCTTATTTTTTTTTTCCTTTTTTTCTTCAAAGATTTTATTTATTTATTTGACAGGCAGAGATCACAAGTAGGCAGAGAGGCAGGCACAGAGAGAGAGGAGGAAGCAGGCTCCCTGCCGAGCAGAGAGCCTCATGCAGGACTCAATCCCAGGACCCTGGGGAGGCTTTAACCCATTGAGCCACCCAGGCGCCCCAATGCTGCCTTATTTTAATGTTCATTTTCAGATAGCACTGTAGCATCTCTGACATGATTGTTTCTTTAGCTTACTAAGACTGCCAGGATTTCCCCAAAACTGTTTTCATTAAAGTAAAATTTCAATTAAAAAAAATCTTGGGATGCCTAGGTGTCTCGGTCGGTTGAGCGTCTGCCTTTGGCTCAGGTCATGATCCTGGGGTCCTGGGATCGAGTCTCACATCAGACTCCTTGCTTACATCAGGGGAGCCTGCTTCTCCCTCTCCTGCTGCTCCTCTCTGTATATGTTCCCTCTTTCTCTCTCTCTCTCTGATAAATAAATAAAATCTTAAAAATATTTTAATCTTGCTTTTGGGAAACATACCTAATACACAAAAATTTATCTCCCCTTTTTGGAGAGCCTACTTTGTCATAATAGGAAAAACAAAACTTTGTAGAATTGTGTGTATGAAATAATTTTCATTGAAGTGATTATAGTAATCACGTCTCAATCACTGCTCAAAGCACAGAAAAGATGTAGATGTTTTCCTCTGAAGCTTTCATACAAATGAAAGATGGGAAATGGTGTATTGCTTTTTCTTTGAACACATAAAACAAAAGATAAGTTCCACAGTGAAGGATGGTCACTTTCAAAATTCATTTGTTCAACCCTTGTTTAAATCTAATGTTCACAAAGCTGAATTATTGGGCATATTTCTGATTAAGTTATTTTAGAATACAGTAGTGTATTGACAACAAACATTTTTTTCATTATTAGGATTATCAGTATTATAGAAGAAGCCTTTTCCTGAACAATTTTCGTTGGTAGAACACTGAATTAGGAGTCAAGAAATCTGTTCTAGCTATCCAGTCAGTCAATAAAGATAGGTTAAGTTCCTGTACACCAGGTAACATGGCAGGAACTAAGAGTACAGAGTTGACTAAGACATAACCCGGACCCTCAAGGAAACTATATGAATAATAAAACAGAATGATAAGCAAATATAGGGTGTTGTGAGGGTATCAGTATGGGGTAGTGGTCAGGAAAGGCTTCCTATAAGAGATGACACCTAACGGGCACCTAACCTGATCTTAGATTTGACTGCACATTAACCGGTACATTCCAGTGAGGGGACCACCTGAGAAAGGTCTTAATGCAGAAGGTGGTGCATGAGGAGTTGAAAGCAGTCTGACAGTTCTAAAACGTAAGGCATGAATCAAGAAGGTAATGGTAACCAAGACAAGGGTTAACTGTATCTCATGTAAATCAACAGAGTCTCTAACATGATGTGGGGGTCCACTGAAAGTTTTAAACAATTGGATGGTGTGGTCAGAGTCATATTATAGATAAATTGTTCTGGATACCTTGTGAAAGTTGTGTTTGAAAAGCCCAGGGCTAGAGGCAAGGACACCAAAACTTGACTGTTGAAGTTATCCAGGTTTAAGTGGACAAAGATTCTATGAAACATCAGATAGGCCAAAGGGGATGGAATAGGGAACTTTTTAAATGAAAAGTATGTGTTTTGGGGGCGCCTGGGTGGCCCAGACTATTAAACATCCAACTCTTGATTTTGGCTCAGGTCGTGATCTCAGGGTCTTTTTTTTTTTTTTTTAAGATTTTATTTATTTATTTGACAGACAGAGATCACAAGTAGGCAGAGAGGCAGGCAGAGAATGACAGGGGGAAGCAGGCTCACTGCTGAGCAGGGAGCCCGATGTGGGGCTCGATCCCAGGACCCTGGGATCATGACCTGAGCCAAATGCAGAAGCTTTAACCCACTGAGCCACCCAGGCGCCCCGTGATCTCAGGGTCTTAGATCAAGCCCCGTGTTAGACTCCATGCTCAGTGGGGAGGCTGCTTCCTCCTTCTCTCTTTCCCTCTGCCCTTCCACCCACCACTACCTCCCTGCTCCCACTCTCTCTCCTTTTTTTTTCTCTCTCTCTCTGTCAAATACATAAATAAATAAATATTGAAAGAAAGAAAGAATGAAAGGAAGGAAGCAAGAAAAGTACATGTTTTGCATCTCCATTTGGAGTCAAGGAATCAGAACGGCTACCAATGACAGTAGGATTAGGTTGATGATTAGTAAATCTGGTTTGGAAATCCTAGCTGTTTCTTCATGCTTTTAACAAACATTGAACTCTCACTATGTACTAGTTATCCTACTTGAGGCTGGGAGTGCAAAGTTCTGACAGTAACCGATAGAATTAAGATTTTTTAGTCTAGTTTTTCTTCTGTAGAATTGTTTTTCCACACAGGATTATTGTGAAGATTGACAGAATTTAAGGGCGCCTGGGTGGCTCAGTGGGTTAAGCATCCAGCTCTTGATTTCCGCTCAGGTCATGAGCTCAGTGTTGTGAGATCTGTGCTCGGCGTGGAGCCTGCTTAAGACTTTCTCTCTCCACCTCCTTCTGCCTCTATCTCTTTCTCTCTCTCTCTCTCTCTCTCTCTTAACAAAAAAAAAAAAAAAAGAATTGATAGACTTTAAAGTAGAAAGCACCAGCACCCTGCAGGATGCTATAGTATTGTTCTTACTATTATTTTCCTTTCTGTGCATATAGGTATGTGGTATGTTTATTATTTTCAAGATTAATGTACTTGTTAAAAATGCAGTCTAGGGGCTCCTGGGTGGCTCAGTCATGAAGCATCTGCCTTCGGCTCAGGTCATGATCCCAGAGTCCTGGGATTGAGCCCCACAAGGGGCTCACTGCTCAGCGGGAAGCCTGCTTCTCCCTCTCCCACTCCCCCAGCTTGTGTTCCCTCTCTTGCTGTCTCTGTCAAATAAATAAAATCTTTAAAAAAAATAAAGAATAAAAATGCAGTCTAGAACCATTCCAGTTTGAATTCTAGATCTACCATTTTGTACTTCTGTCACCTTAAGTTATTTAACCGATCTGTTTCTGTATCTAAAAAGGTTTGTCATTTATAGTGCTTTTATGAGGTTATAATGAGTTTATATTTGTGAAGTGTTTAGGATGGTGTCTGAAACCTAGTAAGAGTGATGTGTTTAAGTAGAAAGATAGGTACAGAGTAAGCATCTTCACTCTTAACTCTGCTTACAGTGTTTCCAAGTGAAAGTCTGCTTTCTGATGGGGTTAGTCAGTGAACATGTGCATGTGTTTCCTTTCTGCTAGTATGAAAAGGAATGTGAAAGTAATATAGTACCAGCCTCTACCCTCAAATGATATATTGACCTATCAGAAGAACAAAGCGATAACCTTTTATTCATGTAATAAATAACTCTTAATAATTGAAGTCTATATTAAGTGAAAGGGAGATAGAAATGAGTGGTTCTCACATCCAAAAGAGAACAAATATGAAACAATATGATGGGTATAACTTTGGGGTAGTTGAGAGATCCAAGAAAACCGAACACTGGTTTTGCCTATATCATTAATTCCAAAATTCAAAAAACTCTTAAAAACTGAGCTTAGGGGGCGCCTGGGTGGCTCAGTGGGTTAAAGCCTCTGCCTTTGGCTTAGGTCATGATCTTGGGGTCCTGGAATCGAGCCCCGCATCGGGCTCTCTGCTCAGCGGGGAGCCTGCTTCCTCCTCTCTCTCTGCCTGCCTCTCTGCCTCCTTGTGATCTCTGTCTGTCAAATAAATAAATAAAATCTTTAAAAGAAAAACAAAAAACTGAGCTTAGTTTTCAGTAGCTGAGAGCTAAAACTCATTTGCTGGCAAAACCTGTCCTGAACTGACCTGAGGTTATTTATAATCTTAATCATACTTAGTGTGTCTATTCATAAGTTTGCTGCCGGAATATTAGTGTATTCAATTACAGGGTATTTGATTACCCTGCCAGAGATGTTACATAATTATATGGTAGATATAGGATAAATATGAAAAATCCCCCAAATTCTGAGTTCCAAACACTTCTGGACTCAGAATTTTTGGATAGGGGATTATTGACTCATGTTGCATATTTATTTGACTATATAGAAAATACAGATAACCAAAAACAATACATTGATGCTTGTCTATAATATTGAAATCACTATGGCATATTACCATACACCCATTAGAATGGCTAAAATGAAAAAGATTAAGAACACAAATGTTGGAGAGGAATTTTCACACATGGCTAGTAAGAATGTGAAATAATACAAATACTATGGAAAACTATGTGACAGTTTCTTATAAAGTTAAACACTTATCATACTACCCAGTCATTCCACTCCCAGGTCTTTATTCAAGAGAAAGCATATATCCACAAAGACCTCTATACAAGAAAAATTATAGTATCTTTATGCATATCACCAATAACTGACAATGTCGGTAACAGCCCAGATACCATTAACAGCTGAATGGATTTTAAAAAACAAAACAAAACAAAATGTGGTATGCTCTGAAATATCATCCAGCAATAAACAGGAATGGATTGTTGATACATGTAACAATATTGGTGAATCTCAAAAAGCAGACAAAGTATGACTTCACTTATATAATACTCTAGAATATGCAGAACTAACCTCTAGTGACAGAAATCAGATGAATTTTTGCTTCTGGGGTGAGAATGGGTATCGACTGAGAAGAGGCAGGAGAAAACATTCTGGGTGTTGGAAATATCATATGTCTTGATAGGGTGTGATTGGTTACACAAATATATACATTTTTCACAAATAGTACACCTAAAATTTTGTTAATTATAAAACAAATTTTTTAAAGATTTTATTTATTTATTTGACAGGCAGAGAGAGAGAGGAGGAAGCAGGCTCCCCGTTGAGCAGAGAGCCCGATGCGGGGCTCGATCCCAGTACCCTGGGATCATGACCTGAGCCGAAGGCAGAGGCTTTAACCCACTGAGCCACCCAGGAGCCCCATGGGAGGGTTATTTTTAAAGCAAAGTTCCCTTCAAACTATTTACTGGAAACAGATAAAAGTTGTAAAACAGTGTAAAACAGATAAAAGTTGACTGCAGGAAGGGGAGAGAGGAAGAAGGATGAAGATTACATGTTGTGTAAGACCTATTCTGGGTCTGAAGTTGGACTTCTCTGGGTATCCTTTTTTTCCATGATGCTTTGTTCTAAGTGCTTTATGTGAATTAACTCACTTAACCGTAACGATTCTTATTCCCATTTACAATTGGGACACTTCAGTGGAATGAGATTGGTTGATTTGCACAAGTTCAGTCGGTTAGTACATGATGGAGCTCAGATTTATATCCAGTCCATTTGGCTCCAGACTTCCCCACAATACTACAGCTGCATTTCATTATGCATGCAGATTTCATTCAGCATGCAAATCATTGTGCTTAGTACCTATGAAAAGTTAGAGAACTTCCTGTGATAATTTTGCTATTTATGTTTGTCTAGAGCTAGCCAACATGGAAGAAGATCCCAGATCAGCTGGAGTTGCTACCTTTGTTCTTCAAGAAGAATTTGATAGATATTCTGGCTACTGGTGGTGTCCAGAAGCTGAAACAAGTAAGGGGGTTCAGAATAATAGAAGTTAACTAAAATATTATGAGATTCAGCTGCCAGTTAGTTAAGTGCTCAGATGCTAAGTCCTGAATAGTAGATTATGAAGTCATGAAGATTGGATCCTATCAGTATTTATTTAGAATATATAGGTTATATCCCACTATAATTAATTCTAATAAAAATAAAAAAGTAATTGCATTAATGCCTCTGGTCTTTAACTCTTTTTGCCAGTCTTTCATGTAGAGGCTGGTCTTAGTGGCAATATTGGTGACAAAATAAAAAGAAAATACTATACCCAATGCGTTGCTGTAAAAACATAGGATTGACTGGAGTGCATAAATGTACGGCCAAATTAGTGTATGAATGGATCAGGAAAAGGGCACAAATTCCTCCCTTTTCTGGATGAATTCACAAGTATTTTATTGCCTGTGAAACAGCTTTCTCTGAAGATCCAGTTAGAAATTTGCTTTACATTCTAGCCTAATACTTTACACATATATTGTGTACAAAAACTAAAAACAAATCTTATGAAGCAATACTTACCTGTATGTGTAATGCACTCTGATATTGTATATTTTTTGTTCACTGTATATTTAAATGCTTGTTATTACCCATTAATAGATTTCATGACATAATAATGGATTGCAGCTACCATTTTTGTTTTTTTAAGTAAGCTCTTTGCCCAAAGTGGGGCTTGAATTCACAACCCCGAGATCAAGAGTTGCTCACTTTACTCACTGAGCGCCTTAGCAGCTCCTATTTTGAACATTTCTCTTAGGGACCATGAAAAATACTTATTTTTAAGCCATGTCTTAGATTTGGACATTCAGTTTTAAGATGTAAAATGTTTTGCCGTAACTGTGTTTGTTAGAACAAGATTCTAACATGAATTAGAGAAACCATAAAAAGAAAGCTATATTCTGTTTAACTAGCATTTATGTTCAGGGTGTCTGGGTGGTGCAGTTGGATGGGTGTCTGACTCTTTATTTCAGCCCAGGTCATGGTGTCGGGGTCATGGAATCGAGCCTCACATCTGCTCTCACAGAGTCTCTTTGTGGCTCTCTTCCCCTCTCCTTCTGCCTCTCTCCCCTGCTCTTTCTCTTTCTCTCAAATAAATAAATAAAATATTTTTTTAAATAGCATTTATTTTGTTACAGGAAATATTATAAATATAATTGAGTAATTTATTTTTCAACAAAGAATGCATTTTAAGGTATGCATGGACTGAAGTCCTTGGTGTGTTTCCCCTGTTAAATATGTATAGGTACAGGGGCATCTGGCTGATTCAGTCAGTAGGGTATGTGACTCTTGAACTCCATGTCATGAGTTCAAGCCCCATGATGGGTGTGGAGCCTACTTAAATTAAAACAACAGCCACCACTCCCCCAAAATATATAATTATCTTCAGGTTTTACCTTTCTTTAATGAGCAAAAGTGATTTAGTAGTAACTCGCCTTCCTAGTGCAAAGACTAGTGAGACTTTTATATACAAAAGGCAGTGTTTTTTGTACATAAATTATTTTTCACTATGGGAAATATACTACTAGAGGGAGTGGTCAGTTATGATTGCTCTCTGAAATAATTCTTCTGAATTTTCAATATTTAAATTCCTTTTAAAAGCTCCCAGTGGCAGCAAAATTCTAAGAATTCTATATGAAGAAAATGATGAATCTGAGGTGGAAATTATTCATGTTACATCCCCTATGTTGGAAACAAGGAGGGCAGATTCATTCCGTTATCCTAAAACAGGTACTATATTCCATTGACATTTATATTCACTCATTTCTACTTTCCAAACAAGATTCTGTAGTCATCCAAAGGTATGGCCAAATTAGTCATTTACAACCTTCATAAAGATAGATTATTCATTAAAGTGTCACCACGTAATCACAGGCTGATCTTATTTAATTCTTTTCAAAGGTTTGTAAGTGCACAAAGCTGGTTACTTCAAGAATGAAAAAAGAGGAGTTTTTGCTAGGAAACAAAGTTTTTTTTTTTTTTTTTTTTTTAGGAAACAAAGATTTTTAAGGGATTATGTTCTTAATAAGTCAGTGTTTTTTTTCTGTTTTGCTGTTTACATGTCAATTACAAAATTATATAGAATTTCTCTTATTTATTTTGTATTGACTCTTGATGTTTTCAAGTATATATATTTTTTTGATACCTATGTTGAGAATTATGAATTTGAATTGAAGTTCTGAGATTCTTACACAGTAAGGCCCTGACTCTGTAATATTCCTGACTTAACTAAAGTATGAAGGGGATTGATCTGGCAAAATTAGTTTGAATAATTTTGATTATGGATTATTATTCATGTCTCTTTCTAAAGGCACAGCAAATCCAAAAGTCACCTTTAAGATGTCAGAAATAATGATTGATGCTGAAGGAAGGGTAAGTATAAAATGCCAAGTTGACTTTTTGTGTCAGTCTAGTAGATATCTTAGATACACTTTTTAGTTTTTTAAACCCATTTAACTTGCTGAGATATCTGTGGACCATGCTTTGGAAACTTTGTGCTGGTTCCCAAGATAGGAATATAGGGATATGCATATTTACCACTCCTTTCTAAAGGTTTTTCCTCTTTGCCATTGTTAATTTTCCAGATCAATATTTAAAAGATGGCATTCATTGACTAGTGACTCACCTGTGTTGGATGTCCCACATTTCCCTTGTATTGCTGCTTTACATTTGGATAGTCAAATGCTTATAAGCTGAATGCACACAAGATTAATTAAAAAACAGTCTAGGTGGCTCAGTCAGTTAAGCTTCTGACTTTTTAAATTTTTAAGATTTTATTTGTTTGACAGAGAGACAGTGAGAGAGGGAACACAAGTGCGGGGGGAGTGGGAGAGGGAGAAGCAGGCTCTCCGCCGAGAAGGGAGCCTGATGCGGGGATCAATCCCAGGACCCTGGGATCATGACCTGAGCCAAAGGCAGACACAACAACGGAGCCCCCCAGGCACCCTTAAGCATCTAACTCTTGATACCAGATCAGGTCTTGATCTCAGGGTGGTGCGTCAGGTCCCACGCTGAGCTCCATGCTAGGTGTGGAACCTAATTAAAAAACAAAACAAAACAAAAACCCAGTCTTCTCTGCTAGACTTTAACAGCTTTATTGAGAGATAAGTCACATACAATACAGTTCACTCGTTTAAAGTTTTGAATGGTTTTTAGTATATTCACAGAATTGTACAGCCATCACCACAGTCAATTTTAGAACATTTTCATCATTTCATCATTTCATCATTCAACATTTCAGGAGAAACTCCACATCTTTTAATCATCACCTTCCAACCTTCCTGTGTCCCTTGGCACTGGGCAACCATTGATCTACTTTCTGTCTGTAGATTTGTCTATTCTGGATACTTCATATAAATGGTATCATACAGTATCTAGTCTGGTTTCTTTCACTTAGCATCATGTCTTCAGGCTCCATCTATGTTGCACCATGTATCAGCACTATCTTTCTTTTTTTTTTTAAGTTTGTGTTAATTTATTTAATCCCTGCACCCAACATGGGGCCCGAGATCAAGGGTCACATGCTCTTCCGACTGAGCCAGCCAAGCGCCCCAGCACTTCTTGCTTTTTATCACCCAGTAATATTCCACTGTGTGGCTACACCACATTTTATTTACCCACTTACCAGTTACAATTAGGGTGTTTCACCTTTTGGCTGTTGTGAATAATGCAACCATGAATCTGTGTGTGTGTTTTCACTTCTCTTGATAGATACCGAGAAGTGGAATTTTTCAGTCATGTGATAGCTAGCTACATGTTTATTTAACCTTTTGAGTAACTGCCAGACTGTTTACCCAAAGTGGTTATACTATTTTACATTTCCATTGTGTGAGGTTTCCAATCTCTGCATCCTCATCAACGCTTCTGTTGTTTGTCGTATTTATTAAAGCCATCCTAGTAAGCTTGAAGTTGTATCTCATTGTGATTTTGACTTAAATTTTCCTGATGGCTAATGACATTGAGCATCTTTTCATGTGCTTATTGGCCATTTGTGTATCTTCCTTGGAGAACTATCTGTTCAGATCCTTTGCCCTTTTTTTTTTAACTTACTTTTTGTGTTGGCTAGATTTTTAAAGGGAAAAGTTGCCATTTCACTAATATATTACACAAATCATATTTAGGCTAAAATGTTGGGAACTAGGGATTATTATTTTTCTTTGGTACTAGAGTCTAAATAAAGTGATTAAAACTTGTTTTTACCAGTTAATAGCAAGGGCTCTGTTAGTATATATAAACTCATGGGAAAAGACTTTTAGACTGTACTAAATCTTGTGCTTAGAACTTTTTTAGACATGAAGAGCACACCAATGTAGGTAACCCAAAACTTACTGCTGGTTTTGCTATATCTCTCATGCCTTTTTAAATACCTAAGTCTGAAAAAATGTCATGCTATTAAAGATAATGATTAAGGTAGACTAGTAAGCTAGTTACTGATGTAAGTCTTCTGTAACTTGATTCCTTTTTTTTTTTTTTTCTTTTTTAATAGATTATCGATGTCATAGATAAGGAACTAATTCAACCTTTTGAGATTCTGTTTGAAGGAGTTGAATATATTGCCAGAGCTGGATGGACTCCAGAGGGAAAATAGTGCGTATGTTAAACAAGTGATTTAGAATCCAGAACTTTAGAAATGTTTGTTACTAGGCCTGTCCTTCAGTTGAAGATGCCTTCAGATGTAAATTTGCAGAGTAGTTATTTCTGCACAGAGAATTTCTCCTGAGCTAAGTGAGCTTGCAGACTTGTAATCTCGTAAGCATAGGAGCATTGCGTTCTCATTCTGTCTCTTACATAGCCAGTCATGGTTTCAGTACTTTCTGTGGTTAAATTGTATGACCCTAGGGCTCACATGTAAGGACGTCTATATTTTGTTATTATATAATTTAAGCAAAATTTTTGTAGATTTTATGTGAAGGTGATTATATATAGTTCCTAAGGTAGACAACAGGAGTTTCACAAGACTGCCAGTTGTTGACACTAAGGGGAGAAAACAATGTCATAGATCATATGTGGTTTTAGGAGTTTAAAGACAACCACTTTTAAAAAACTCTACTCAAGCCTAACTGTAAAAAGTAAGTATAGAAAAAGCTAATACTTTTAATTAGCCATTTGTAAGTGATAATTTAACATCTACTAAAGCAGTTCTTTAATTGTGATTACAGAAATAACGGATGGGTACTAGAGGAAAGAGTAGGGGAATATTCATTTTCTGAGAGATGGCTTTATTTTTGGTGCTTTTTTGTTTGTTTTGTTTAAATAGTGCTTGGTCCATTCTACTAGATCGCTCCCAAACTCGCCTACAGATAGTGTTGATCTCACCTGAATTATTTATCCCAGTAGAAGATGATGCCATGGAAAGACAGAGACTCATCGAGTCGGTGCCTGACTCTGTGACGCCACTAATTATCTATGAAGAAACCACAGACATCTGGATAAATGTATGTATGCTTTCCTGTACTTGGTTATATATTTTCTCAGAATGCTAAAACAAGTGAAGTTTTATAGCAAACTATCAAAATGAATCTTTTCAATTCAGAGTAACCACGAATATTATTTGCTTAGTTTGAACATTGTAAATCAAAATATTTGTAGATAGAAAGATGTCACTGAAATGACATCTCCCAGCTACAAATTTTCTCTTGTTCCCGGACACATCAGGTATTGAAAAACAGCCTCATCAGTGCCTCTGAGGAGGACCTGAGTGGAAATATAGAAGAGATTTTCACTTCTAAGTTGGCAAACTATACCAAAATTTACCAGTTGGGAGTGAGTTTATCATTTTCCAAGTTAGTGGAAAAAACTTAAACAAGATACAAAATAAATGAAGCCAGATCACTTCTTGGCTGAGTATAGGCTTTATATGATTCACCCTTCAACTTTTACAGTATTTCTCTTTGGAAAAGAAAATTCATAAAATTTTGGATAAGAATAAGATTCTGTAATAAGATTTATATCATTAAACCTCATGCCATATTTCAAAGGATTATAGAGATAATGAGTAAGAAAAAGCTTTTGGTCATATTTTTCTTTTTCACCATTTGGGAATGTTTATTTCTCAGTGATGAAGTCTGTGATTAAAGTGAGATAAATCTGAAAGGTCAAGACAGAATCTATATTGTAAATATACAGTACCCCTAGCACTGACAGTTACTTATGTTTCAGAATGTATTTATCAATTAATTCTTCTTTCTCTAGCTTAATTGAATTGTTTATGTAGTATTTTCATTAATGTGTATAGTAAATTAAGCTATTCATTTTACAGATCCATGACATCTTTCATGTTTTTCCCCAAAGTCATGAAGATGAAATTGAATTTATTTTTGCCTCTGAATGCAAAACAGGTTTCCGTCATTTATACAAAATCACATCCATTTTAAAGGAGAGCAAATACAAACGATCCAGTGGTGGGCTGCCTGCCCCAAGTAAGAAGTCCTTTCTTATTTCAAAAATACATCTGTATGTTGGGGGCAGAAAGTGGGAGGGGCAGGATAATATAATGCCTCTTTTGTATACTTTATATACTTTATAAGCATCAGTACTTGCTTCATTAAACTTAATATGTAAGTGAAGCTAAAGTATAAATACATATGTGAAATTACAGGACAGTGTTCTTGATGGCTATATAAGAAACTATTGAGTAATCTCTGGGAATGGAATTACTTATTTTTGCTTTCTACTTTTGCCTTGACTGTAATTTTTAATTTGCTTAAAGTGAGCCGAAGTCATATTTAGACTGAAAAGGCTGTTTTTAAAATGTTATTTAGTTATTAGGTATTTTTACCTCCTAGTTTTGTTTTTGGTTTTTACATACTGTGGGTTTTTTTAAGATTACTTATTAATGAGAGAGAGTGAGAGCAGCATTGTGAGGCAGAGAGCACGAGTCAGGGAGAGGAGCAGAGGAAGAGGGAGAAGCAGCCTCCCCTCCGCTGAGCAGGGAGCCCAACATGGGGCTCCATCCCAGGACACTGAGATCATGACCTGAGCAGAAATAAAAAGTCAACTGCTTAACTGACTGAGCCAACCCAGGCGCCCCTCCTTTTTTTTTTTTTTTTTTCTCCTCAATACTGTCTGCATCTACACTGAAGCTAATACGGTTATAGCTCTTAAGAGTGATATAATTATGTTGTCCAATTATGTTGTTGACCATTAAATATGATGTCAGCTGGAGTTAATTTCTCTTTAAAAAGTGATGGTTGTCCTTCTGGGAAATATAATACACAATGGATATGTAAGCCTAGAAAAAGTGAAATGGTATATCTAATAGTTCTCCTGTTTTTGCTTTTGTTTTTTTAATTTAGTTACAGTTTTCTACTTGGTTGTTTTTTTTTTTAAGATTTTATTTGTTTATTTGTTAGAGAGAGAGCGTGAGCACAGGCAGACAGAGTTGTAGGCAGAGGCAGAGGGAGAAGCAGTCTCCCCGCCGAGCAAGGAGCCCGATGTGGGACTCAATCCCAGGAGGCTAGGATCATGACCTGAGCCGAAGGCAGCCACCTAACCAACTGAGCCACCCAGGCATCCCAGTTTTCTACTTTAATAATAGTTTGTTTTAGAATGGTAGGCACTTTATGATAATGTTATATGCTTAACTGCCATTTGTAACTTAACAGACTCAACATAGGCATTTTTTTAAATTGTGGCAAAATATACCAAGAATCTACCATTTTTACTATTTGAGTGTACTGTTCAGTGGCGTTAAGTATGTTCATATTGTTATGCAACCATAACTACCATCTACCTGCAAAACTTTATTCATCTCCCAGAACTGAAACTGTTCAATAAATAATACCCTGTTTAGCTTATTGCTCCCTCCCCTCAACCACTGGCAACTACTTTCTGTCTGTATGATTTTGACTACTCTAGATACTTCATATAAGTGGGATTATACAGCATTTGCCCTTTTATGTCTATCTTCACTTTGCATAATATCCTCAAGTTTTATCCATGTCATAGTGCATGTGAAAATGTCCTTCCTTTTTAAGGCTAAATAAATTCAACTCTATGTAGAGACCACATTGTGTCTTCCATTCATCTCTCTGCAGACACTTGGGTTCCTTCCACATTTTGGCTATTGTGACTAACGCTGCTATGAGCATGGGTGCACAGATACCTGTTTTGAGACCCCGCTTTCAGTTCTTTTGGGTGTATACCCAGAAGTGAAATTACTAGATCAAGTGGCAGTTCTATTTTTTAATATTTTGAGGAACCACTATACTCTTTTCTGTGGCAGCTGCACCATTTTACATTCCCATTAGCAGTGCACAAGGGCTCCAGTTCATCAGCATCCTTGCCAACACCTGTTATTTTTCTGTGTGGTATGTTTGTTTGTGTGTGTTTGTTTGGATATAGCCATCCTAGTGAAGTGGTAGGAAGTGGTATGTCATTGTGCCTTTGACTTGCATTTCCCTAATGACTAGTAACATTGTGCATCTTTTCATGTGTCATTATCCATTTCTGTATCTTCTTTGGAGAAATGTCTTTGAATCCTTCGCAAACTTTGCAAACTTTGCAAAAACTTTGCGTGTTTTTCTCAACAAGGCCTTTTAAATATCATTCTTATTTGGGAAACATGAGCTACATCTTAGGACTAACAAAATAAATACTGCCTATGACTCTGTTCCTTTCCTCAGCCTAATTTTTTTAAGGCAGACTGGATCTTGTATATCCAAGGCAAAGAATTTCTTCCTTGAGAGCCTTAGTTTAACTTGACCCTTAGTGTGACACTGCCCTTACCAGCTCCTCTATTGTTGATAAATTAAATTCACTTAAGAAATTCCAGAAATTTTAGTGCATGAGCAGCAGGGAAGGAGGAGAAACAGACTCCCCACTGAGCAGGGAACCCAATGCAGGACTCGCTCCCAGGACCCTGGGATCGTGACCTGAGCCGAAGGGAGATGCTTAACCAACTGAGCCACCCAGGCACCCTCCAGAAATTTTAGTGATGAAGACGGGCCAAAGAGCTGTGAATAGTAATTAATTAACTAAAACAGTATTTGGGGAACAGTAATAAAATGTTGGTTACTTAAAATTTTATAATTTAAAATTTGAAGAATGTAGGAAGTTAACATTCGTCTCTAAAGCCTGGCCTCTTTGTTCCCTCTCGGTGTCTCTTTCTGGGCCCCTCAGTTTATGTACCTCTTCCTTCCCTTCTGCTCCTTTCTTCTTAGACTTTCTTGCTCTAAATCTTCCTTTTTACTTGATACCACTTCATCTTCCTCTTCCCTCTTCTTCCTCAAGTGACTATAATATGAAACAATTAGTACTTGTTTCATATATATATATCAAATAATACTTATATATATTTCCTGGACATAAAACTTAAAGTACTAAGTCGAATTTTTGTGTCTAAGAAAAAATAAATCAACTTCTTTAACCTTACAGGGACCCTAGTTAAGATTCCCATACCATCTCACCATCTAAGCCTGTCCCTGTCTATCTCTTCCCACAATGCTACTAGGCAAAGAGAAATGGTTTACATTTTTTAACCTCCTGCTTCAGCCACCAGCCACCGAGAGAGTTGTCTTTACCCAGACAGAATCTCTTAAAGACAAATGGGGCATGTTGGCATTTACCATGGTAATACCCAAATTATTTTTGGTAGATGAGGAACAATTGTATAAAAATTTTTCTTTTGTGGCTTTTTAAGTAGTTTGTTGCATTTCTAGAGAAAATGCCTTGTCAACCCATTAGACTTCTAGGTCTAGGAATACAGTTGCTTTTGAGTTTTTTTCTCGCTTTGCCATCAGAATCTATTTTGCTGGGGCTCCTGGGTAGCTCAGTGGGTTGGGGGCTCTGCCTTCGGCTCAGGTCATGATCCCAGGGTCCTGGGATCGAGCCCCACATTGGGCTCTCTGCTCGGCGGTGAGCCTGCTTCCCCCCTCTCTCTCTCTGCCTGCATCTCTGCCTGCTTGTGATCTCTGTCTGTCAAATAAATAAATAAAATCTTAAAAGAAAAAAGAGGCTATTTTGCTGTTTTTACCTGATTTACAGGGATCCTTCTACCATTATTCCACTGTATTGTGAAGACTCATAACTTGGAATTTTTTTAACTATAGACTTTTTTTTTAAGTAAGGTGAAATTCACATAACACTAAATTAACCACTTTAGAAAAAACATTTTAAACAAACATTTTATTTTTTTTTTTAGAGATTTCTTTATTTATGGTTGGGGAGGGACCAAGGGGGAGAGGGAGAGAGAGAATCTCAAGCCAACTCCCCACTGAGTGTGGAGCCTGTCTTGGGGCTCAGTCTCATAGCCATGAGATCATGACCTGAGCTGAAATGCAAGAGTCTGAGGCTTAGCCAAATGAGCAACCCAGGCATCCCTTGAACAAACATTTTTAAATGAACAGTGGCAAGGCACCTGCCTGGCTTAGGTGGTGGAGCATAAGACTCTTGATGTCAGTGTCTTGAGTTCGAGCCTCACGTTGGGCGTAGAGATTACTTTTTTATGAAAATTAAAACATTAAGAAAAATAAGATGAACAGTGGCATTTAGTACAGTCTTACTGTTGTGCGGTCACCACCTATGTCTAGTTTCAAAACATTTTCATTATCCCAGATATAACTTGTTTAACGTACTTTTGGAGAAAAGAGTTTTAGAGTAATATTCTTTGTTGTTTCATTTGCTTATAGTCTGATACAGAGTGCTGAAAGATAACTATGTTTATCTTTAGGTGATTTCAAGTGTCCTGTCAAAGAGGAAATAGCAATTACCAGTGGTGAATGGGAAGTTCTTGGCCGGCATGGATCTAACGTATGCTCTTTTATTTTCCTGATATGTTTGGTCAACATTTGCTGTGTTTATGCAGTACAAAAAAGCTGTAGTACAACTTCATATGGCCCCAGTGTTTTGACAGTATTAAGTTAGGGCCTAGAAGAACTCAAGTTTTAGAAAGGAAGAGTCTTTTTTTTTTTTTTTTTTTTTTTTTAAAGATTTTATTTGTTTATTTGACAGAGAGAGATCACAAGTAGACAGAGAGGCAGGCAGAGAGGGAGAGAGAGGGAAGCAGGCCGAGAGCCCGATGCGGGACTCGATCCCAGGACCCTGAGATCATGACCTTCAGCTCAGGTCATGATCTCAGGGTCCTGGGA